AAACCATTTCAGGTGACTACCTCTTGAAGCTCATGGAGAGAATGCCAAGAGTGTGCAAAGCAGTAATCAGAGCAAAGGGTGGCTATTTTGAAGAAACTAGAATATAAAACATGTTTTCAGTTATTTCACCTTTTTTTGTTAAGTACATAACTCCACATGTGTTCATTCATAGTTTTGATGCCTTCAGTGAGAATCTACAATGTAAATAGTCATGAAAATAAAGAAAACGCATTGAATGAGAAGGTGTGTCCAAACTTTTGGCCTGTACTGTATGTATATATATATATATATATATATATATATACTTTGATCCAGGTAATTTCACCCTACTACATTGACTGCCCAAGAATTTCATCCGTCATGTTGCTTTATGTTGCAGAAGAAGCTACAAAGATGCCTGAGGTTCGGGATCTTTCTGAAGCTTTGCCAGAGATGCCCATGGACCCAATCACTGGAGTTGGTGTAGTAGCCTCAAGAAACAGGGCACCCACTGGATATGATGTGGTAAGTTACTGAACATAAGTTAGGACAGATAGACAGCTTATTTAAAAACCAAAACAGTTAGCAATTTTAATTATATAAGCCAAAAATAATTCTTGAGTCTTAAATCATGAAAATGCAAAAATGCACATGTAGATATACTTTGAAACTGCCAAATGAACAAAAGTCATGAGTCAGTGATTGAAAGAAAACGCCCCCTAACTCTGACCCAGAATGGTCTGAAAGTACATTCCTATAAACTCTATAGGTGGCATAATTTATACAGGGTGTGTAGGATATTTGAAGTACTTCAGTTTGGCATATGCATTAAGTAAACAATCTCAACTCAGTGCAGTTTTCTCTGACGGAGCTGAAAGTTAAGGTTTAATCATCGACTCTTTGAGAGGACATGAGATTAAACCTCCAGACTAACATGTTGCAGATTTCGAACGAATTCAGACTCAGATAAAGTTGTTTTTCTGCTTCTTAACAGTGAGCTAAGGAAGTCAGTTTACAGTGAACCTGGATACAAATATTTGTCTTGTTGTCTTAACATAGTATTTAGTAGTCATATTATTTAGTGTGAGCTCATAAATCATCCTTTGAATTTGTCAAAAACTCTGCAGAAGATAGTTTGTAATGTATAGAAATTATTTGTGGTTGTAGAAAAAACAATCTGTCTAAATTACATGTGCACAGATTATATCAACAAAGAGGTTTCAGAAACACTGTGTTTTGTGAATATATTAGAGTTAGGGCTGACAAAAAGTAATTAGTAATTGATGCGCTGTGTGCTGCGTCATTTTGCCGTCATACCTGAATAATAACCAGTTAATAAATAATAAAGTTAATTTTAACTGTTATAGCCTTTAATTTCTTTTTACTTTTTCCAAAAGTGGAGCTTAGCATTAATATAGTGACACACCAAGGAGGTGTCTGTGTTTTTCTGTGCATGTAGGTAATGCTGATTAAGTTGTAACAATTTCAGCCAGTATTTTCTGCGCCATTGCATACTGTATTCTAATTTGGTGGGTTCGACATACCTGTAAACCAGTACCTTTCAGGCAAAATTCACTGTTTTGAATTCAAATACATCATTTGTATTTAAGTACAAATTTCAGCTTCTTCACTTAATTCGAGAATTTCTATTTTTTGCTGTTTTATACTTCTTCTCAGAGGTAAATATTGTAATATTTACGACACTACATTTCAGTCAGATTAACAATACAAAATATAATTAATAAATAAATTGTGTTATTATTAATAGAGTTCTCAATCGCAGCCTGAGCTAGATGGGTCCCTAAAAGCCCGACAAGTTGGATCAAGTTCGGGCTGAAAATGTGCGCTGAGGTAGGTCGGGGTTCAGGCTGTGGGGATTTTTTTTTTTCCCCAATCAAATAAATAGATATTAAAAAGTGAGTACTCCACACTTCCTTTATCAAATTATTCTTTATTTTAAATGTAAACCAAAAGTTGTTATATTACAATAATCCTATTATAAATGATTCGTACTTGGAAGCATATTAGGTCCAATTTTCATCTTAAACTGGTATCCCTTGTACTGCCCATTACCAGAAATCCCACCTTTGTCCCCTCCAACCTCGATGGAGCCTTCTGTACTTGGAGTGAAAGGGGTATCCATTGTATTGGAGACCTGTATGTAGAAGGTGTCTTTACTTCATTTATACAACTACAGAGGAAATATGGACTGAAGAACAATAACTTTTTTTCATTACCTACAAGTTCAAGTTTACATAGGGAAATATTTAAAAGATTTGAAACGGAAACGCAATCAAAAATAGATGATTGTCTGAAACTGTCATTCAAATAATGCAAAACATTGCCTCATCCAATTTAAAATTATACACAGGCTTCATTATTCGAACGAGAAACTACATAGTATATTACCCAGAGGTGTTGCCTAAGTGTGACAAATGTCAATCTTCTGTGGCAACACTTCTACATAGTTTTGCTTTATGTCCAAAGATTCAACCCTTTTGGATTGATATCTGCAGCATAATGTCTGAGGTCATGAACACTAAGATTAAGCCAGAGCCTCTGCTCATTATTCTTGGAATATCTGAGACCTTCAGAAAGTTAAACGTGACACAGCAACGATTTCTCTCCTATTGCCTCATAAAGGCAAAGAAAATAATTCTCATACTGTGGAAGAACACACCTTTCCCTACCGCCAAGATGTGGCTAGAGGACTTAACTAACACACTCCATTTGGAAAGGATAAGATTTGCTCTGAAACACAGGCTTCAACCATTTAATAACAGTCCAACCCCAGCACACACTATACTATAAGTGAAATGACTGATGAGTGATGGGGCTCTGTGGGTGGAGGGCAGTGGGAGGAGTGGAGAAGTGATGTGGGTATGGGACGTAGGGATAGGCATCAATTTTTGATTATCGGTGATTAATTGTTAAGGCTTTTGATAGATCACAAATAATTTTAATCGATAGTCGCAGTGTTTCCCCTACAATGCCTGGCATAGGCCCGGCGAGCCGCTGTGCCTACGAGACCCCCTGCCCGGCGAGCATGGTGGCTCACCATGCCAACGAGACCCGCCACAGGACCTATGCCAGGCAAAAAATCATAAACAGACGGAGGCTCTCATCACTCTCCAAAGCCTCGGCGGCTTCCCTTGAGGCCTCTAAAGACACTTCACCATTGAAAGACGGAGGTTTTGCTGAAAACTGAAGACTGTAACCACTGGCTGGCAACAGTTGTAAACACCCAGGGGTGAACTGCGCATGTGCGCCATTCTTCCTCTTTGGCCTGGGGAGTTGAAGCTCAAAACTGGGGCAGCTGCGCTCTCTTGCGGCAACAGTCTGCACTGTACTCTTTTGTTTTCTCTCTTTTGAAATACTCGCTTATCAATTAATCAATAATTGATTAATTTTTTTGATGATCTAATAATGAATTTTGATCGTTTGCCCATCCCTAATGGGAGGGCAGCCTTGCAACTTTGGGGATAATGGTCAGCTTGTTAGGGGTTCTAGCCTGGAGGGCTGTAACCCTTTTGTTTTTGTGCTGTTTTATTAGGGGTTCAAGCCTGAAGGGCTGAAACCCTTTTGTTTTTGTGCTGTTTTATCTTACTATATAATGACGAAAACTCTGTCTGTGGGTGTGTCTGTTCCACGTTTTTCTCCTCACTGACTTGGCCAGTCCATGTGAAATTTGGCACAGTGGTAGAGGCTAATGGGAGGATGCGAATGAAGCAATATTACATCAATTGGCCAAAGGGGGGCGCTATAGTAACCGACTGAATTTGCAAACTTTGAATGGGCATATCTCATGCCCCATATGTCGTAGAGACATGAAACTTTGCACATGCCTCTCCTCATGAGGTACAGATTTGCCTCAAGAACCCATAACTTACAGTTATATAGATTTTCCGCCATTTTGATTTTTTTTGAAAAACACTTCAAATCGATCTCTTCCTAGGAAGTTTGACCGATCGGCATGAACCTCGGTGAACATAATCTAGGGACCAATATCTAAAGTTCCCTCTTGGCAAAAGTTGGAAAACTTAATAAAACAGAGCTTATATAAGGCAATGAATATTGCGGAGGGAGTGGCTCATCACATAAAGGTGTATAACATCTCAAGGGTTTCAACAATCACCACGCAACTTTGTAGGCATATGACCACACAAAATCTGAGGGGACCCCTCCATTATTGACCTGATCAAACAAAATGGGAGCGCTAGAGAGCTAATTTCTTATCTAGGCCAAACCGCCATATCGATTTTTACTAAACTTGGTAGATATGTAGAACAGGTTGCTCAAGGTGACTGGAGAAATTTAACTCTAATTGGCAACTGGGTGGCGCTATAACAACAGAAAAATGCTTAAAAAGGGCTAAAATGCAACCGATCGCTGTGGCTCCCCCTGTGGCCGAATGTTGGGGTTTTTTTTCTATTTTTTGATATGACTAAGTCATGGTATGGTATGCTGCTGCAACAAGGGCTAGCCGCACCTTTCCCATGTGAACTACCAGTGTACCCCACTTTTAAGTCAGTTCAACATATAAACACTTTAACTATCTGCCTTTCAACGTGCTACCTCAACTACTAATGTACAGTTTTAGCCCCCTAACTGTCCCTCTATTGGCAATGGTACTACTGTACTTTCAATAAAGCAATCGCACTCAAATTCACAAAAACTCTGTCTGAATACATTGCTCTTCTTAATGGGTTCAGTTGACTATTTAATCTGCAATTTTCTATGACCTGTATCCCAAACACACACCATGTGAAACTGTTTGTGGGCAACTGTGTACTCAATGGGTATGGACTAGTTATTATTATTATTATTATTATTATTATTGTTGTTATTATTATTATTCAGAAATGTTTTCGCGAATTCCCGTGAGATGGTACATCGTAGAGCCATGACATTTTCACCCATGGTTGGAAGTTGTGTGCAAATGATGCTCAAGAAATATAATACCAATAGGCCAGATGGGGGCGCTATAATTAAGGTTCTATGAAATTCTTTTTTGAAAGCTAGCTCACAGTGATATTCATTATCTTGTTGTAATTTGCACATTTTCCATGTCATCTCATTTTTAACCAATTGTCACCAGAATATTTGACAATACACCTGACTTCAGCAGAATGATGTCAGATTTTTTTCAGAATTTATCACCAATGCTTTAATTGTTATTGATATCTCATTTCTTTTTGAAGATATTGACCAATGAACTTTACAGGGGGCGTGACTCAGCAAATGACTCCACAACGTGTGGGCCAATCATCACAAACCTTGCAAGCAATGTCTTAACAGGTACCAGGAACATAAATCACAAATACAAAAAAAGAGCATACAGTAACACATATCAGACTAAAAATCAGAAATTGATTGTCCTATCATTACAAAACTTGCAGGGTATGTTGAATAACAATTATCAACCACGTGTATTAAATTATTTGAAATTCGGTCAATAGGGGGCACCACAAGTTACAAAGAAGTACAATGGCCCTTTGCAAAATTTGACCATACTCAATGAGGAA